ATAGGGGTTGCAGCCGCGGTGGCTGCGATGATAGCAGCGGCGATGAGGGGGGTGAAATGCATTGTGGTGGTTGGCAAGAGCTGTTTTTGGAGCTGTGAAAGTTTATGAGGCGAGGTGAAACGAATTTCTTGTGTATATGAAAGTAAGGAGATTTGGAAGCTGCAATGGTGAAGCTGGTGATGAGAATGTTGATGATAGAATAGAAAAAAAAGACAGACTTCGCTGGGAAACAAGGAGATTATATACTCATCCATTCCATCTAGGCTCCCTCTTCTCTGACCTCAACTCACCCTTTCTCTAGCCTCACCACATCTCAAATCTTCATACTATCTTCAACCTTGATCCACCTCATCTTCAATCGTCTCTCCCCTTCATCCCCTTCTTCTCGGCCACTTCGCCCCAATAACTCCCCACCACGGCCGCCGTTCCCCATGGCGCAGCGTACGCTCTCACGCCCATCTCACGCCCATCTCACTTCCAAAATGCCTCTATTCCAAATTCTCAATTCTCAATTATTCCCATTCCAAATCATTTTGTTTGCCAAGACCATCAGCTTTATAGTCGACCACGCGTGCGTTGGGGGCGCAGCTCGTCGGCGTGAAGGGCAGTCACGGTACGTACCGCATAATCCCCTAATATGCCCATTTCAGGGCGCGGCGAGAGAAATTTAGGTCCGACGCTACGGTGCGGGCTGACACGGACGCTACAGCGCGGGGTTAAATTCCCCGTATTTCCGACTGGCGCCGAAGTGGCAAGCACTGGCACATAATTGCAGATCTGACTGTGAGTAAACGGAGCAGTCGAGCAGTTTCCTATATGCTGCTATATAGTAAGAACAATCACATACAGTGTGCAACCATAGACTTGAGAGAATTGGGCACCCCGTTCGGTACTGCATGACAGGGAATGAGTCATTTTAGCTCATCGCGGGCCGACCTATGAGATCATGACAATCCGAACCTTAACCCCACCTTAATATCTACATGGAGATCATATGCTACCAGTTGCCAGGTTCACTTAAAGGTTATATGTTCAGTATATAATGGAAGTTGAGCTTTCGAAGTAAATAACCCTACTCTCCTCAATTAAATCTCATTTAGCACATCGTCCGCAATGCTTATTCTGATTGCTGGCATCACGGGTAACGTTGGGAAGCAGGCTGCACGCGCCGGTCTGGAGCGAGGGCATGAAATCCGCGGGCTAGGCCGTTCTCCATCAAAGCTCGATCCCGCCGTTCTCTCCGGCCTCGAATCGTTTGTGCAATCGGAGAATTACTACGACATCTCCGCGCTGGAAAAAGCGGTCAAAGGTGTCGATGCTGTGATCTGTGCGTATGGCGGACTTGCAGAGTTAGCGCTTGAAGGGCAGCTCTTGCTCCTGCGCGCTGCAGAGCGGGCTGGAATCAAGGTTGGTGGCGAGGCTCTTGCCATGCATTCACAATCAATTGGCTAATAATTTGATGTGTGACTTCAGCGCTTCCTAGCTGCATCTTGGAACTACGACTGGCGCCGCATTTCATTGCACGACCAGGAAGTCTACGATCCATACATAGCCTTCCACGCTCAAGCTAGTCTCTCTAGCAGCATCAAGACTCTGCATATTCTGACTGGCATGCTGGCCGAAGTCTTTTTTGGCTCCCACAAGGAGCGTGGCTTCACCCCTGCTGACGATGGCGTTTGGGATCCGGAACCCCAGGGCGCTGATAGCACTGGCCCAAATCAAAGGGCGAGATCAATGGATGTTTATGGAACCGGTAACGAGCCCTGGTATTTTACTACAGAAGCCGATGCTGGCGCGTTCAGTATCGAGGTCGTGACGGGTCCGGATGCAGAGAAAGGGGGGTTTTTTAACTTGGTCTCATGGGTGCATTCCCTTCGCGAAGTTGCAGAGATTTACGAGAAAGTCCACCCAGAAGCGAAAGTTGGCA